GTCCCAGGTTATCATCAGCCAATGCATTTGTTTTATTCTCTGTATGCGGACGTTCCGTAACACCGGAGGGCATGGAGCTGAAAAGAAAGAATATTTGACCAGTTATTTTGGAGGTTCACATAACATTCGAATACTTTATTTTCTTCGAACCAACCTGCTCCCGCCTGAAGAGGTGAACTGAAAGAGCTGTTGCAGATGCCGTCGCATGCTTTGACGGTGAAGTTGTAAACGTTACCGCACTGCATGGGTTTGAGCGTGCACGAACTGTTAGTGGTGTCGCAATTGAAAGTGTCTCCGTTTGCAGATTGTGCAAGAGCCAAATACTTCACAGCTCCCTTAGTGTTGTTCCAAGACAAGACGGCAACGTTGGTCTGACAGTTAATATCCACATTGAGATTGGAGGGCGTACAGGGCACTGAGAAGAAAGAAAGATGAGCACTTATTTCAGCTACTAACATTTTCCTTCATTTGTATTAAGTATAGTTTTTTTGACGTTAAGGTAAAAAGACACTCAGTTGCATCTGGGTGGTATCATCGCTAAAGTCCATGTTTGACTTTTGTCTATATGAACATAATCCTTTTTTTCTGCTTTTTTTAAAATGAAAAGACTACTGTAAATCAAGTAATTTTAATCAGTGACATTATATATAGTAGTTCTCTAACAATGGACAGTCAGTTTACAGATAAGTGTTGTGCAGTTCAAACATACAGGACGACGGTTGGACAAAATCGTTACGTTTGTAGTTGTCAAGAAAAAATCAATATTTGCAACTTTTAGTTGCTGAAATTGATGCCACGTGTTAATGACATATTTTTGTGTGGGAGGTACTTTTACTATCAAATGCACNTAAGGAAAAACTGTCTCTCCGCCATCGCCAGGTAACGCACCGCAGTGATCTCTGCCCCTGCGGCGGTGAAACACGCCGATCTGGGTGCAGAAACCGACACAGTCCTGCTGGCCTGGTGGCGCCTCGCCGACGCCGGTGAACTCCACGTCGTAGCCGTATTCAAAGCACACCTTTAGAGCCCTGAGAAAAAGCAATACTTAATACTGTTTTTAGAGCCTACCTTAGCAATGGTTGCTCCATTTGTGACAATCTTTTTTTGTTTTTGTAAAACAGTCAAACTTTGTGCCGTACCAGGATTTGAACTCCGCTCTGTTCCACTCAAACTTGTGATCCCTGTCCCTGAAACC